CCCCCCCCCCCCCCCCCCCCCCACAAAAAAAAAAAGGAGACACAAGAAGAAAAAAGAGGAGGCGTGAAAAACTCGTGTGCGACACAAAGCGTAGTCGAACGTGCGATGAACGGCCACTTTCAAACAAAACAACGTCGAAACGAAAAAGAAACTACATAAAGAGGTGGCATCGAAACTCATGTGCAACACAGAGAGTAGTCGAACGTGCGCTTAAGGGGCAACGTAGAACGAAATGAAGCTTGGCGTTTCGCATCGCGACAAAAAACAAAAAAACAGCACTAACTTCCGGAACCCCGCGCGCCGTGGTACGTGTGACGCGGGTGCGGGTGCGCAGCGCAAACAAACACGTCTCGTATGACGGAATCTTGATCTTCCACCAAGAGGTGTCGCCGGGACTTCGGGGGGCGAACGGAAACACAAACATGACATGGTTTCAAGCAAAAACCATTCGAGAAGACCGGTTTTCGTCGTCGTCAGCACCTTGGAAGGCTGGTCGAGAACGACGTCTCTTGCTTCCTCCACTGGCGACTCCACCTCGTGACGGACAACTCCAGGCGGCCGCATGTCCACCAGCTCCGCCTCTTCGATCACGTTCTTCTTCTTCTTCCGCGTCCGCAGCTGCAACCAAGCACACACCACGCGCGAGAGCAGCAGAAAGAAGGAAAGCTTGCAGAATGTTGCGGTGATCGAGCGGCGAACTTTGCGGACTACAAGAAGAAGACATGGTTGATGGGCGTGTGCCTCGGGAGCATGCGGCGGACCCCGACAAACAAAATAACCGCAGCAGTGGCGCTTACAAACAGCGTGGTCAGCAGAGTCGGGGGGAGAAACAGCAGGGTACGTCTTCACCAAACTTTCAAGGTCTGCTGGAAGCATAGAGAGGTGGCTGACAGGCCGTACATGCATCAACACGGTCAGCGATGGAGGAACATACTCGCGGGCGAGAGAAACCCTTCGACGCGCCGAAAAAATACGGTCGTGCACGTTACGTTTCAACCATGGCACGTGCCGTGTGCTCCGTCTTTTGCGGCCGAACCATGTTCGGTTTCGTCTACTACACGCACGCTGCGTTGCATCTGCTCAGTACAACCGACTTCCCATCCTACAGCTGGAACTCGCACGACAAGCGCTGCCTGCGCCGGATATGCAGGATGCATTGGCACTTCGTCTCCTACAGAGAGCGACACGACCTTTAAACGTAGCGCATGACACACGGCGGCGGTTGCTTCGTCTTACGCTACTATATATCTCACAGGCGAGCGCTGCTTCCTCTTGGACCTCTCCTCCTCCCTCATCTGCTGGTTGTGCGGCATCCTCGGCTTGAAGTGCCAGTCGAAGACCCAGAGCCACGCCGCGCACACGCCGAGGCAGACCACGAACGCCTCCCACACGCCCATGACGTCAACCATCGCTGCACGCGCCGCCGATGACATGGGCGGCCGCCAGGATCGGGGGTAAAAAAGTAGACGACAGGCCGGCAGATTGACACCAGTGCTTGCATAGAGAGGCGAGGGACGGCACCAATTCCACGCCTATCTATCCGTTTGCTTCATCCCTCGTGCCTCGGACAGATAGATGGTAGGCCCTCAACAGCTCTAGTTTCGACCAAGGGGTGAATGACGTCAGTACGTGGTGCGATCGTTACTTGTAAGAGCATTCCACCAGGGTCGGACGGGCGTGCAGACAACCCTGTGTTCTCTAGCCCCCCGCCTTACCGACATTTTCCACTACGTCCCCTCCCTGCATCCCATCTCCTCACCTACGACGATAGCGTTCTTGCTCCCCGAAGCAGGCACGAAGAACATCATGGTCTTGTACGCGTAAGCCAGGGGCACGGGCGTCTGCAGACGGAAATCCATGGCCCTCAGCAGCAGGAGGCCCACCCAGCTGTGGCCCAGCGCGTCGCCGATGAGCGCGGTCGCCCTCAAGAGCCTGCGCACGCCGCGCCCGACAAAAAACAATATCGTAGAGATCGATATGGTGTGCCAAAGAACGGCGTGTGTTGCGACCGCCATTGTGGCTGGCACCAGCGCTTGCAACGGGTAGATGCCTAGCAGGAAACGACGGGAAACATCCACAACCGTCAACGACGGTGGTGTTGCGAGGTCGGTGGCGATTGTTCCAGCCGCTCATCGACAGGCGAAGGGCCACAACTACTGCACATGGCATTCAGACGGTCTCAAGACACGCCGATAACGAAGACGCCTCGCAACAGGAAAAGCTTGGATTCCAGAAAAACAAGAAGATGGGTTGGTTGGATTCATGGCTCACCAGAAGTTGGGGAACATCCGAGGGGCCAGCACGATGAAGACTCCCACGTTCCACAGCACGCAAGAGAAGAGAACCAGCAGGAAGGCGGCGTTGAACTTGTCGGGGATGCTTGCGAACCCGATGCTGCCATCGTCACGTGACAAAAAAAAAACATCAATCGATTTGGGGCGACTAGTCTTAGGACATAATTCAATCCCGAAAGGCCTCCACCAGCACGGCGTTCAGACAAAGACATTTGTTTGATTGGCATTGGAATGTCGTCATATGTATATATATTGCGTTCCAAAAACTGACAATCGATAAACACCAAAAAACACACAGAATGTCTACAGCAAAATGATAAAATGTTATCATGCGTTCTTTCGTGAGAGGACAGCACGTACCTTTGCCGCGGTGGGCTCAAATCAATTTCGAGGAAACATGTGCTATTGGGCCTCGTAGCACATCGATCGGCACGTCATAGCACGACGATCCTAACCATGTCATGAGACACGCGCACCTGCTGATTGCGGCAGTGGTCATGAGGTCGAGGCACAGGCCGCTGAGCCTGAAGAACCACTCGCTATGGTACCGGAACGGGCTTGTCCGCCGGATGAAGCACATGAACAGCAGAGCGGCACACATGCTCAGCTGGAACAGCCGAAAGCCTGAAAAAACACACACACACAAAAGCCAAGGAGCGCGAGCGAGAGAGCGTGCGATGTCTCGATGGGTTTCATTCGAGGGGTTCGGCCGAAGGAAGGTACACACGAAAAAACGCCGAAACCGCAAGGACATGACCAACCGCGGTGGTGTTCTTTCCTGAATGCCTCGGCTGTGTGTCCACACACACCATCACGTGAGGGCAGGTAGGCACTAACGTCCAGCATAGATGGCACTACAAGGACACAAAGAGTGACCACACCAGCCACGCAGAGGAAGCGAATAGGAAAGCATGCGTCCCAATTCAACCACCGCAACAACCCCAAGCAGCCCTATTCCACTCCACCTCGCCGCAGCCATCTTATTCAGAACAACAACAACAACAACAACAACAACAACAACAACAACGACGACCACGACCAGGACCAACTCTCTCAAACGACAAACCGACTCACTCACCCGAAATGATGTGGTGCTTGGCCGTGTACTCGACGCGGTTCTCCAGGAAGCGGATGAACAGGTCCACCAGCCAGGCCGCGCCAACCGACACGGCCGGCAGCAGCAGGTGCGCCCCGAGCCCCGCCTGATGAATACCAAGCGTGGGGCCCCTGTCCCGGCCCGTTACCGACGCCTCCGGCGTGCCCGCCTCCAGCAAGCTGCCAGCGATGCCGGCGCCGCGAAGAGCCGGGCGGGAGCGAGGGGACAGGGAGCGCGAGCGGTGGTTGTTGCTGCCGGCGTCGCTGTTGCCGACGTTCGCGTCGTCGAAACCGGGCAAGCCGCCGCCCAGGCCGCGCCCTGCGGTGCCGGCGGCGGCTGCGCCGCCGGGCCCCTGCCGGCCCCGATCAGGCGATGCCCTGGCCGTGGTGTTTCCGTGCAGGTTGAAATTTGTGCAGAGCGGTCGGGTGTTGAGACAGCGGGAGCGGCGGGAGAGAGAACACATCGGCAGGGTCGTGGATGTTGGATGCTACAAGGGCATAGCCAGATCAAAACCAGTTGTGCGACAACAAGGTATGCGTGCCTCCGCGGGGTGGTGGAGGGCACGAGAACACAGAGGCATCTCTTGGAGGGAGTAAGTATCGCACGCCAGCTGATCCCGAAAGTCACCTCCTCCGTGAGCATGCGACACCCCCACTGAAATCGAGCTGCACAGAGGTAAGCCTGACCGAGACCGGCGGCGAACAAGAACCAAGAGCGCGACAATCATATTGATTGCTGGACCAAACACCAACATCAACGCCCCGGTGGTCTAGTGGGTAGCCTCGTAGCCTGCTAAGGGCCAGGTCATGGGTTCGAGTCCCGACAGAGAGAGTTTTTTTCTCGCTATTTAAATACTCGTCTCCGTTGGAAGCGACGCGCTGCAAAGCTCGTTGTTGGTAAACTTGATAGTCTTCATCAGTCGCGAGGGAAGGGATTGCTGTACCCTTCTCGCGATAAAAATATCTCAGGCAGGAACCGCAGGAGGGGGTCCAACCCCCCCCTCCTATGTGACCCCGGTTGGGTCATCTAGCTGGTAGAAGTGGAGGATAGGGGCCAGAGGGGCAGACGACAGAGTCCAACGATGGGAGACAAGAAAAAAAAAACATGCTCTTCCAATAGCACACCTATCTAAATCCACATGCGACTGGCGAGACCTACACTTGCGGGGGGCGCTAGGCGTGCGCAACCGCCCACAACGACGGCGAGCACGCCGGGTGCGTTCGGCCTGTGAAACACGCGCGAGACAATGCCCCAAGAACGCGAGGCGAAATTTTCAAGCCTGACAACAGTCAAGGTACCATTCGCGGCTCCAGATGTATATACATGCACGTATGCTAATTCTTGTGGAGTCCCTCGAGTACAGATCTTGAAGCGCGCCTCCCCCTCCCCCTCCCCCCTTCTCACCTTCCCACCAGCCACCCGCACCTTCCCCTCCCGCGGTGGAAGTGTTCCCGCTGGCGGCCGGCATCCCTTTCTCCGTCCCCTCCGGTGAGAAGGCCGTCTCCAGCGCCGGCGGCGGCCTCGTCGTTGCCCACCAAAGCGTATCCCCTGTTCACGCCCCAAAAAGGATGCGGTCGGTCGCGGTTTGATACCAGCGAAGGGCGAAGGGGGGAAAGGAGCACCCGGTGATGAGGTGGAACAGCACAATATTCATTCTGTGCTCCTATGAAGCTTGCAAGACAACTTGGGTCTGTCTGTATGAGTCAAGAGCCATCATACGCCACGCACCTAGCAGCGTCAACCTGGAGGGCACAAAACTAATCCAATAACCGATTACCCCCCCCCTCCCCTCTCCGCCCCCCCCGGTGTTCGCCATCGGGGTTGGGTTTTCGTCGCTTGGCAACGACGTTGTAAAACAAGCCGCCGCCCCCGGTGTTTGCCATCGGGATTGGGTGTACGTCGCTTGGCAACGACGTTGTAAAACAAGCCAATTCACTTCGTGAACTCGGCAACCAGGGTACCGTTTTTTTTTTTACCTCCGGTTTTTTATNCACCCTCGAGGCAGTTACACAGTGCTTACAACTGTCAGGAAGTGAAAGCGCCAGAAAATAAATTAAGTCATACGCAGCTGTCAACCGTACGCAAGGAAGCAA